TGTCCTCAGCCAATCTCATTGCCAAAAAATTCTCTCTCAACATATTGGCCTTATCAAACACAAAGCTAAACTCAGTCATACCACTCCTACTAGCACTATTCTGCATCCTCAAATCTACAATATTAAAAACATCTGGGATATTCAGCTTCAGCATCACATTCCTAACTTCTTCAAACGACTAAATAACAAAGACTTACTCAGGATATCTACTCAAATTAGAGTCTAACAACTTCAAAATAATCTCTGGTCTTCTACAAGTATTCTTGTATACCCCAACCCAATTATTGATAGACCCAATAGACACTCTACAAATTTTAAAATCATACAACTCCTCAAACATATCAACTTTTCTATTAACTCTAGCCTAAACTTATCTATTCCTTTCACTATCCAAGAAGGCTCAACACCTCTTGAATCAATTCTCAGTCCTCACCCCAAATATTCAACTTTCAAAAAACAACTTCGGCACCATCATATACTCTTTCTTGATCAACTAACTATATCTAATAATTTCTATTTTCTAGACTGGAAATATTTATCTCCTAGACTTAACAAAATTCCAAAAAAGAAAACCCTTCTTTGGTTTACTTTTTTAAAAAGCCAATTTATTAATTAGGGCCACATTTAAAAATTCCTTTTTATTAAAAAGTGATTAAAGGATGTCCATCTTATACTCTAACATTGGAGGGAACAGAATTAGCATTTACAGCAAATATGTTCGAAGGCACATCATCTGATTTCTAGATGTCTTTTCAATGACATTGCTTCAACAATATTATGCACGTATCTGGAAGGTTACCTCGCCAATATTATCACTCAACAGCTATCATCATAATGATAATTTGTTCAATACGTACGAATTTGCTAACCGAATTAAGTAATTAATACCATAGCATAATACTGTAATGATAATTTAGGTCGTTCAATATTCGGAACCTTTTTTATGTCTTTAGCTAAGATCTACTGGTTGACAAGAGCAATCTTCGTCATAAATTTTCGTATAAACAAGATCACCAAACATACTGGACATGAATTCAAGCGGGAACTTAATTTTGAATGTGTTGAAATTGTAATATCGTTTAGAATACTAGCGCTATGATATATCGTTATATATATGCACATACTTAAATTCTGGGACAACTGATAAAAATTTGATCAGCCGAATTCAATAAGTTTTTGAATTCGGTGTTATCGGAATTGGATTTCGGCATTACAGTAATTCGATAACACCGAATTCAAAACTTATCGAATTCGGCAGATTAAATTTTTATCAGTTGTCCCAGAATTTATGAGAACAGCTGTAATCACGTTCTAAAAAGTTTATCACTGCCGAATTAAAAACTTATCGAATCTCCAATTAATTATTCACCAATTTTCACCAGATGTCCCAAAATTTATGAGAACAGCTGTAATGTAATTTGTCAAGAATCGCACTAAAACAAAATCGCATAATTTCCGTGTCCCTGACAATAATACTAATAGCAAATCAATCATAGATCTACATTTTAGAAGATTCCCGATTTTCAGACTCCGGTGTGGTGTTTGACGCTTGAAATTCATTGATCACAGTAGTTTTAAAAACGTCAAACCCAAAGTTGTTGATCATACAAGAGCGAACTCAAAGTGCTTCATATAAATGTAAAGTTAATACTTGGAACTGGATTTAATCATTAGATCCGGATGTAGATATAAGATCAAGATTTATAACTGTTTTCGACACGACACGAATATTTCCGATTCGATAAGTTTGGCCAATATCCGATCAGTCTATTTTTGCCAGATGTCTTAGAATTTATGAAACAGCTGTAAATATGTAGGCGTATTATCTTTATCCACTTACGAATCTGTTTCAGATATTGTGACAATACTAGATATCATTATTAAATCCGGTTCTTATAATTGATTAAACCTGGATAATTGATTAAATCCGAATCCAATTATTAACTCTATATAAACGGATCTGCACAGTCTAATAAATAAAAAAACCGGCCAAACTTTACTTAAACTGTGCAGATTCGCCGATGTGTTTAACTTTTTTAATTTTATAAGTCCTACAACCCTTAAATCCTTGACAATATTACTAATTTAGTGCACTACGATCCCAGTAAAATAAGTGGATTAGCTCGTAACAGTTTGAAACGAATTTACAACATATCAGTATAGCCTGGTTTTAACAAACCATACCGGACTAATTCGCTATAATTCCTAATAGGGATGACAGAAATATGGTTTTTATTGATTTAATTATAGTCCAATAACAGGTCATTTAACTGACATCACACCAGATGACAATTTACTAACAATATATACTTGCAACTATTAAAATGCTAAATTGTCACCCTGTGTAATGTCAGTTAATGGTCTATCAGTGAAACGATCGCCAGTGAAACGCTATAATAAAACAGATAATATTTCATTAAATGAAACATTACTGTATTAATGCATATATTTGAGTGTTTCAAAGTAAACTTAAAATTATATATAAACACCGAGAAATTTTTGCACCGTGCATTTCAAATTCATCGAAACTTTTATAACTCAAAAAAAAATTTTGTTCCACTTCAAAAAAAAAGTAAAAATGAAAACCTCAACGTTCGTAATTTTGTTCATTTCCTTGGTGCTTATGATTGCTATTAACGTGATGGCTGAATCAGAAGCCATGAACGAAAAACGCAGCGCTGACTACGGTGGTTCCACTTCTAGTAGTTCTATGAGTTCTATGAGTTCTATGAGTAATTCTACTAGCGCCGGTATCTCCACTCTTTATTCATTGAACGCTGTCCAGATGGGTGGTATAATTGCTGGTGGTATAGCTGTGTTGGGTGGTTTATTTGGTTTTTAATTTCACCATGTTTATGTATCCAAATAAACACTGTACGAGAAAAAAAAGAACACAATATAAATATGATGCACCTTCATCATAGTCGTTTTAATAGATATTTATTATCGTACTAGGCCACAAATTTAATATCTTGGTTTTCATAGCATGAACTTATGAACAGGTCCGGCCGGCCGGCCTTTTTTTAAAAAATTTCATGTATAAAATTATATAAAAATTCACTCGATTATTAAACATATAAAAAATTGTTTTTACAAGGTTTCAAAATTTGACCTGGTTGGATTATGAAAACCAATTAATCAATTTTTCATGACCTTAGAAGATTTCTCCTCTATATATCACAGATTTGTTCTAGTATTTTAATAGTTCAATAAATTAAGTTTTTCTTTGTTACGTTCTCTATTCGTTTTTTTTTTGTTTTCTTCTAAAATAGATCTTATCCCTAAACCGCAGAAGACTGAGAAATTTCAGGACCACAGTCCTTTTCATGACTGCTTAATCATGAGTCGTTAAATACCATTTAGCTTTGCTTATAGTATCCTCATAAAATAATATCTATGATGATTAATGCAAAGCGTATTATTTACTTAATGCTCAGGAGAATAATTATAGGGGGGATTTTACGATTTCCTAAACAACCATATCCAATTTTTACCAACACTAACCTTCATATTTTCAAAGACCCCGAAAATCGAATCTGATCGGATTTGAATCATATAGGATAACTTTATTGTGATTTGTAATAGTTATATCCTGGGCGGTTGGGAATAAGTGAAATTTTGCAGTAAAGTATAATCGGCTGCGTAATCGGCCAATTATACTTTACTGCAAAATTTCACTTATATCCAACTGCCCAGGATATAACTGATTTATTCCATGGGTACTATGTAACAACCCGTGCCTTTTCTTCTAGGTTATTTTCACCGGTCTATGTGAAAATCATGATTTCATATAGACCGGTGAAAATAATCTTGTAGTAAGTATTTTATGAGGCCCGATTTTTTTCAAATCGCAAATGCTGTACAATGCATTATTTATTTCAATAAAATAAAAATTACAATTTTTTTTTTTTTTTAAAAAATACATTTTAAAAAAAAACATTTTTTTTAAAAAATGGTAGTGGAAATGGTAATGAACTTCTCTATTGTTCATTTTTCTTTCT